AATAACTAGATCAAGATAATGCCAACAAAGAAAATGAAAAACCTAGAGTTATTAATAAAAATATTCCCATTCCTACTTTTAAAAGATATTATATTATTTCTATTACAATTTTATTATATAACTCAAATATAATAATTTATATATATTTTATGGAAAAATTATCTTTCAAATAAAGTTATTATTGGTTTTCCAACTGTTTATTAAATACTGATATTGTTTAAAACATATATGTATTTATTATATAAAAAAAAATTTGATATACCCGCTGTGTACGTGCCTGGATATAACCATTATCAAATAATAGGTTCATACAAAGTTTAATAACTGAAAGGTAATATAAAGTAATAAATACATTAAATATTAACATATCTTTTAATAAATAATTAATAATTGAATCATATCATGCATTTTGAATATTTTAATTTTTTTAAAACTTAAATGTTTCCAAAGTGTTTTGTTATTAATTTGCGAAAATTTTAAAATTTTAAGGATTTTTTCAAAACATTTTGGACGTAGCCTTAAATAAATGCATTCGCAATATATTTATTGTTTCCCGGTAATGCGCTTGCGATAATGACTTCGGGCAAACATATTCGTTGTAAAGGGTTGATAAAATGTATTCGCGGTTAAGGTTTTGAGGAAATAAATTCGCGATAATGGCTTCGCGAAATTGTCTACGCTATAAATGTTTCGTGGAATTGGTATCGCGATAATACCTTCGCTACAAAAAAAATTCTTTAAATTGACCTGATACGCGTCAGAGCTGCCCAAGACTAACAATATAATTTTATAAAATTAAAGATTATATAAATATAAAAAAATCATTTTTTTTGTTATTTCGTTACTAAATTAAAAATTCTCATGAATTAGTTTGAAGTAACATGTTATTAAACAAAAATTTATTGGATTCATATACAGTGTTGTGCAGATTTAATGAAAAACATTTCCATATTTTTTTAATTCGTTTGTGAATAAAATTATTTAACTTGTAAATATTGATAAATATGTTATTTTAACAATTTTTTGCAAGTCAAATAATTTTATTTTCAAATAAATTAAAAATATGGAAATGTTTTTCATCAGATCTGGTTATATAATAGCAAAATATAAAAAAGCTAACGTAAGAACAAAACTTCTGTTATGATGATGCATTGCATGCTCTACTGGGATTTAGCAAAATATTGAATCGGTTGTTTTAAAAATTTAACCGATAACGATTTTATGTAGATTTTTATTTCCTTTCTCGTAATAAATCATAACCCCCATAAAAAAAAGTGTGAAGGAAGGCGCAAGGCCGCATACATAGTGGGATCCTATCCGACACGATTTAACAGCTGATTGATTTTTAAAATCTGTTTATGAGATCAATTTTTTTTAAATAATATTAATTTTATCTTTAATTCTATACATAATAATAACCTAAATATTCGTTTTAATAAAGAAAAATTGATTCTCATTCTCATAAACCGATTTAAAAATCGATCAGCTGTTAAATCGTGTCGGATCGGATCCCACTATGAATGCGGCCTAAAAATGTTTAAAGTTTTTTTTACATTTTATTAACGATAGAAGAAGTAAAGTATATTAATAAAATAAACCCAATGTAAAAGAAAATTACCCAAAATTTTGTGTATTTTTATTTGCCTATTGTTTATTCCATTGTTTTTATTAAAAAATAAATTACAGTAAATAAAAATTATGCGAATTTAAATTCCACTAATTAATAAAGATAAATATTTTAGCTTCAAGTTGTTATTTTATTTTATTAATTGATATTTAATTTGTTTTTACTTTTTATTCAAATAAGATACATATTTTGTTATACAAAAAATTTATAATGAACATATAGTGTGACTGTGAGCATTTTTTTTTTCCTTTTTAGCTTTCAATATCTCTTTCCATTTTATATTGTTTATATACTACTACAATCCATTTTTTTTAATTTATATTTAGTGATATTTGCTTTAACTTTGTGAATCCATTGGAGTTTAGGCCTTTCTTTCGTTCATCCATTATTTTTAAACTCTTAACATTGGTTTGTTCACCATAATCTTTATTTTAATGGGTATATATTTTGTATTTCTTAATGCTATCATTCTCTGAATTCTCATCTCCATTGTCGGTAAATTTCTCTCGTCTAATTCTTTGCTTGGCCATGTTTTTGAACTATATAGGATAGTTTATTGTATTATGAAACTACATATCTTCCCTTTTAATTTGTGAGGAATACTTTTGTCAAAGAACCCTGATAAATTTCTCCATCTTAGCCATCCTTAATTCATTTTATTTTTTAATTTCTCTTTCGATTGTGCTATACTTTAAAAAATGAAGCCCAAATATTTAAAATTTTCAAATGCCAACATCTGCCATTCATTTATGTCAATGTTGTCTGTTTCATCTCCATCTATTACCAAATACTCTGTTTTTTTGCTAACTTTTAACCGATGCTTTTCTAGAATATTTATCCAACTCGTCAATTATCTTCATTTCATCCTTTGTTTCAGCAAGTATTGCAATATCATCTGCAAATATCAAATTCCTTGGAATTATTCTGTGATATGACATTCATCACTGTTATGGACAGTAGTGGGCTGAGAACCGAACCTTGATGGACTCTCTCAACTATTTGGAAGTCGGTTGATGAGCTCGTTGTAATTTGGACCACTGTCGTGTGGTTCATGGTTCCCTATTACGATTATGTCTCTTAATTTAAGTAAAATTCTAATTATCATTAAAAAAAATAATATGAAATTAAATGTATACACGACATTATTTATTATATATCTTTTAAATACAAACCTTTCTACAAATTTAAAGATAAAACATATTTTTAGAATTTTAAAGCTTCGAGATTTTTAAGAACCAGATAAAAATTTATATATATATTTTTAATATTCTATTATCTTATATTATATAAATTAAAAAATCAATGTAACTTATCGTTATCTATGTTGTTTGAAATAAATATTGGATCGGTGAAAAAACTGTAGATATGTGCAGCCCTAAGTATAAATTTTTTGATGGCTCGAGCTATTTAATCTGAAAAATGTAAGGCTTGTTATTTTTTCTATATTTATATGTCAAGGGTTCCGGGTTCATGTTCCAACCTATGATGTATTATAAGATTTTATAATCAATGGACATTTCACGTACAGAATCTTACACCCTCCAATATCTCATTTTTGTACAATTTTATTTTGTTATATTAAAAATATTCAATCCCAAGTTATAAAAATTCACTCCGAGTTTATTTCTTCACAATTAAAAATCCAAGACAAAGGATATCTTACAATGAATGACCGAAAAATAAAGAATAAGGATACAAATTTTGACACCCATCAAACTTTGAGGTATTTTTAAAAAAATGATATCAGGATTTTACTATATTTGAAGATTACCCTAATATAAAAATTTTATTCATATAGTATAGCACAAAATACTTTTAGTGTGGCTAAAAATGTGTTGAAGAATAAACAGTTAAACTTTGAAATGTTTTACAATTAAATAATATTTGATAATTATTTGATAAATAAAATATCAAGTCGAATAAAAAAATGTTTATCACTTCAAAATTTGAGTTTTAACAAAAGATTTTCAATTTTGACATTATGCACATGTACATCTTCCAAGATTATAAAAAAATGCATCTTGAAACTTTTTAGGCTATGTATTTATATCTAGATATATTTAAAAAGCATCTTTTAACAACTCTAGCAGTTAAAAAATTCCATCAATCGCAGTCAGGAAACTTTAGATGGTGGATACTTTGCAGTACAAATTTAAAATCGAGAAGAACATAGTGGCCTGGAAAATTTGGCAATACAAAATTATGTTTAACACAAGCTAAAAATGGTTAGAGTTACTGATATATATATCTTATATATTTCTTAAACTATTAATTAGTTGATTGGATCTTAACATTTAAAAACATTATATTTATATAATGACTATTGTAAACTGTTTTAATTTTATATTTGATTAAATTGTCTAGTGGTGCTGTAAAGTAACGTCGAAGAAATATTTTTTGAGGAAATGGAACGACATTGGTCTGGTATCAGAATCAAAAAATTTTTACATCAATAAAGAAAACTAAGGGCACTCTATACTGTGTAGATTGCATAGACGTAACCAGGATTTTGTTGGGGAGCGGGGAAGCACTATTATATGGGAGTTTCTCCCATAATTTTATTGGAGGTCTTTATGTACACTTAATGTAGGTCTTTGGCTATGTTAGAATTTAGAAAAGTAATTTTGTGTTTTCATTTTTTCTAAAAATGTTTTTTTTCTAAAAATTTTGAATTGTAGTCGTTATTTGTAAAAGTTATTAACTTTTACTAATTTATATTTCAAATCCTTATTTATAGTAATATATTGTATATATTTTTGGGGGAGACTGTGGAAGGGGGGAGGAGTATAGGGAAGTGTTTATTGGCTTGTAAATTTTCGAAAATAGGCAAATTTCCCAGAGGGATTCCCCCCACGTTACCTTTATGGTATATAGTGCCCCAATTCAAATATTTCAACCTTAATGCCCATCAGCTCAAATCTAAAAAGACATGTGATAATAAAAATATGAATTCAAATTTCTGATAAGATATAAAAAAAATATGATGAGGATTTGAATGAAAATTCTAGAAGTTGATATATTTTTTTAAAATAAACATGGTTGTTTTAATATTTTAATAAATTCCCCCAATTAAAACTTTAATTTATTAAATATAATATTACCCTTCCATTCACTGCACCAGTTTGTTTTTAGCACAGCGAGTGTTGAGCACTAAGCGCTAACAAGTAACGCGTTCCTTTTTGCACATGGTAACGCGTTCATTTGTGCAAAACAAGTAATTCGTTTAATCTTTTCTCAAGGGTAAAAATAAGTTTCCACTCGCAAACTTCTATAGCATAAATGATATTTCTAATTATTTAGAATTAAGGTTTAAATAATCTTAAAGATATGGGGGGAGGGGGGGGGTACAAATTAAATTCAGCTAAATATATACCAAGATTATCTGTTTCATCCCAAATTTCGGATTGGATAATTTCTTCAATAACATCTTCAAGCGTTACAAGACCAACGATTCTGTACCAAGGATCCTTGTCTTCCTCTATTATAACTCTTCTCACAAAAGCCATGTGGGATTTACCTAATAAAGTATTAATTAATATAAAAGACATTCATAATAAACGATCCTCATAATAAATTCAAATAAACTACAAAGTATATGGAAAAAGAGACTGGTTAGGTTCGTTAATATTTTTATACGACTTTTCCGGTTCAGCCCATGGAGCTATTTTTTTTATTTGATAGAGGTGTCAGCCAGAAAAGTACCTTTCTTGAATTCGTCCAATATGGAAGTGAGTAGCGTATCCTCATAGACGTACGTAACAAAATGCTTGTAAAACTTCAGAACCGTTGATAGAGGGATACGATCGTCGGGATCCACGAAGGCTAGGTCCTTGAAATTCAAAAGTCCCAATATGTTAGATTTGTCCGGTTCGTTATAAACCGGTATTCGAGTATAACCCGAAGCTACAATCGAAGCTAAGGTTTCGAAATCTAAGATTGAAGAGTAAGGAATGGCAAAGACTCGTTCTAAGGGGGTCATAATTTCTCCCACTTTTTTAGAATTCATGGCTAGAGCACCGGCAATAATATCGGCCTCATCTTTTCGCAGGGCGGCCAAATCCCCTTCACTTTTGAATCTAGTGCTTTTCGAATTAGGTTTATTTTTATTGGAACTACGATTATTTTTGGGAGGCTTTAAGCTGGCTCGTTTATGAGGAGAAAGAGAAGAATTCTTTGTTGATGCATCGACAAGGCTTCCTCCTTTTTTACGATTAAAAATTGGTGGGTTAGCCTTATTGATGACGGATCCGTTACTGATATCCGACTGAACTGAGTTGCAAGGAGTGGCAGCCATCATCTTGACTAGCTCTAACAAACGTTGACGATCATAAACCGAACCGATTTCTTCGCCCAGAACTGCATCTAAGCAACGGCTCACAGGATAAGACACCGGTGACGTTAGACCCATAATAATACGCGTGAGCCATACAGTTCGGGCTCCAATGGCTAAACCATAACGAGTACAAATGGCTTGAGGAAGAATTTCACCGAATATAGTTATACCTAACATATTTTTTTAATGATATACCATTTTTTTCTCAAATCATCAAATTTAAATAAAATTTTATGGCTTTTCTAAAAATAAGGACTGCAATTTTTTCACCGATCCAATATTTACATTAATTTTTTGTCATTATTTTCTATAATATAAGATGATAGAATAATAAAAATCTGTGTAATTTTTCCTAAAGCGTTTTATACAGAATATTCACTTATCCCGGCTGTTAAAAATCAAAAAAAAAGTTTTTATTTATAAGATATATAGTAAATAATGTCTTATCTTATTAAGTTGTAGCCCTTAGAGATAATACATATAGTTACATATTTTTTTAATGATGATCAGAATTTTCAATCTATTTTTGACTTAATACAAATAAATATAATATGCTAGCACACTATATATAATTCATATTAAATTTTCTGTATAACAACTTATGTATCTTTATTTGATAAAAAGTAAAAACTAGTGCTATAAAGTAATGTCAAAAAAATAACGCATTCGTTACCTTCTTCTAGAGGTCGAGTAAGTATCAACAACTCATTTCTTTTTTTAACGGTAACGCAAAACATTACTTAAATTTTTTTTTAAAAAAATATGGAAAAAACAAATTTCATTGAATTATAAAATTATTTTTATTTATTTTTTAAATTTATAATAATTTAAGTCGATTTTTTAAGTCAGATCAACCATCAAATTCCTTTATTTTTATTTAAAATTTTTGTTGCTAAATTTTCAGTCAGGATTGTTAATCTAAATTGAATCAATCAAGATATGTTAATTTATATTCCCTAATATTATATTTTATTTTATAAAAAATATTGTCAATTGTACATATTTCTTCAGGTGAAGATGATTTAACCTGCCTTGGCCTCAATATGAAACATTTTTAAACCAATAAAAAAATTAAAGGTACAAAGTCTGCACTTTGTTAATTTGTGTCCCAAGTCAAATATTTCCCTAATTGTGGAAAAAACATAGGCAGTCTCGAAACTGTGCAGCCATTTTAAGGAAAAAATGGGAAGATATCTGATTAAACCGGTTATAACAAGATGGAACTCTTTTTATAATTCCGTAAAATTAATAGTCTTATTAAGGATAATAACCAATTTGACAAATCTTGTGATAAATTCGAATTGCAGAGATTTTCACATAATGACAAATCGTTCATATAGATATTGTATGGTTAGTGTTATTTAAAAAACAGGATATGTAATATATGATTTTATATAATGGAACCTGTTGCTACGACTTTTTTGTTTCAGAACATTTGGGATATCTCACTCCCACGAAAACTATTATAATATTTTAAAACTTTAAAAATTTGCTTTAAATAATTTCAAATTTTGTAAGCCTCTTATTAATGTAATCCTGTAAGACATAGATAAAAGGTATACAGTTTAAATATTATTTATAATATATATTTTGATCACATTTATTTTCAATAGATTCGAACAAAACTATCAGCAATAATTCACCCGGTACTTAAATTAGATTAGAAATAGATAATACGTTAACGAAGGTAGAAAGCTTGAACTTACTTCCAGTTTGAGAAAATATCTTAACAAAGAAAAAGCAGATTTTGATTCCTTTAGAAAACAACACACATACCAGATTATTTTCTGATATAGATGAAAAAATTTTTTGATGAAGATCTGACTGAATGAAGATTCTTTTGAAGATGATTTATTAAGCTTAATTCAAAATAAGAATTATTCTTTCATTTTTAATAAATATTTCCAATTAAAATTTTTATTTATTAAATATAATACAACCCTCCCATCCGCTGCGCCAGTTAAACGTGTGTTTAGCATAGCGAAAAATGTGTTAAGCACTCTCTTATTTATCTGATCAATATTTTGAAAACTAATTGTTGTTAAAAATAAAAATTAAATTATTATATAAATAATCATATCTTATAATATATTATTTTTATATAACTTTATTTATATTATATATAGGAAAAAATATTATTTTAAAAATATTTCATCTTATAATTTATTATTTTTGTATAATTTTATTTATATTATATATATGAAATTTTTGTATATAATATTTAATTTTTCAAGTAACGAGTATCCAGTTACTTGTTGAACAGCCATTAACGCGCTTTCCTTTTTTCACAAGATAACGAGTAACAATAATGCGTTCCTTTTTTTGGACGTAACGAATTACGCGTTTATTTTTTGAAGTAACTTTTACAGCACTAGTAAAACGAAATAAATATTAAAATATAAAATATTTAAAATTATAATATTGGATATTTTTCTTTATAAAAATAAGAGTTTCAAGTTAATGTGATAATAAAAAAAAACTCAATATTTTATTCAGAAAAAAATTACACATATCTGAAGATTTTGATTATAAATGGCACAAATGTTTGGAATATTGAGTTATCTGTTTTTAAAACTCAAATCGAGTTGTTTAACAACTTTCTTTCTTTCTTTCTTTAGTTGCGCCAAATACTTAGGTGCAAAGTTTGCCAAAGTTAAAAACTTTATAGTTAACCCTCAAATAATCAGGAGAATCGATCGGAAATTAAATATTGATATAGTTATTTAATTAAATTTAAATTTTCATTAATAAAAACAATGGAATAAACTATAGACAAATAAAAAATATATAAAAATAAATTTGGGTAATTTTTTTATATTATTTTATATACTTTATTTCTTATATCGTTAAAATTGGAAAAACATTACAAACTTTTTTTAATGGGAGTTATGAAGATATGAGAAAGGGAAATTAGTTCAAAAATAAATAATAACTGTGCATAAAAATAAAAATATGCATAAAATCGGTCACGATTAAATTTTTAAAAAATATCGGCCGATTCAATATTTTTCTAAAAGTCTAATATCGGCGCCGATTCGGTACAGTACAGCTTTAAAAAAATCCATTCCAATAAATAATTTAATTATATCACGAAGCATATTTAGTTCTAATATGAAACAATAGGTCAAAAACGAATTATTTATATTCGATTCCTTATTTTATGAATATGAAATAACACAATTATTTTCAATTAATATCTGATTTGAATCAATTTTTTCGCAATAATCGTTATTAAAATAATTAGCAAAAAGAAATTAGTTAAAATTTATCATATGTATTCAATATTTAATTTGCCTATCGGAATTTTTTATTTAAATTTTTTTTTATTTTCACACCTAGTAAAAGCCAAAAGTCCGGTATGGACCCAAAGATCAAGTAGAAGCGTTTTTAATGATGTCAGTTGAACGAGAACTAGCACAGATTGAACTAGAAGATATTCTTATTTATTTGCGGAAAGGTTCAAAGTTAATGAAAGATTTATTAACGCAAAGATTATATATTATTAATTCTTTTATTTAAATCTTATTTATTCTATTTACAATATGATCGGTGTCTGATTTTATACAGCAATTTTATTCTCTGTGCAATATTGTATAATTGAAATAATTTTATATGTATAATTAATTGATTTTATATGTTGAGTATGTATTATTTTATATTTAACATGTGATGTAAGATTTGTATAGTGCAATATCGTTGTAAATCTAAATATAAATATATATGTACAATGAAATATGATTCTAGATGTGCTATTTTTTAAAATAAAATATACGATTATCGTATCATACTATTACTTTTTTTTTAAATAAAAATGTAAATCGTTTGAACTTATTTTCAGAAATAAGAAGTAATATAAATCATGTAATTTGAAGGAGCCATTTAAGAGAACCTGGCCAAAGGCCCGCAAAATGGGTGATATGGGAGCGAAACCCTCATAAAATGAGGCCGCTATAAAAAAAATTCCCACGAGGCCGTAGCGTCGCCAGTCAGTCCCTTAATTTAATATTTTTTAATATTCCCTCCCCTTTATTACCTTGACAGCGTGAAACCAGTTGCAGAGCTATTAAAAATTCTTATAAAATGTTGTATATATTGGTCAAAATACCATTAAAAAAATCGGTCTAAACAATTATTCAATAATAGAATAAAAATAATGCATTTATTTGATTCGATGCGTAAGCTACACAAATAAGCCCTTTTTAATGTAAATTAAATTTAGAGTATCCACTTTAATATTACAAATGACTGAGTGACTATGTTATCTTAGAGTTGATTTACTATTTATTAATTACATTCGTTAATATTGCGTAATATAGTTAATGCAAATTTATAAATACTCTGTAATAATAATAATTGAAATTTATTAAATCTAAAGTGAATTTTATCCACAACGATAATTAAATTATATAAATTATTAGGTAAATATATATGTAAAAATTATTATCGCCATCTATAAGTTCCATATTTAAGTAATTGATAATTTGTTTTAAAAAATAAAAAGGGATATTTAAGTGAATTTTAAAAAAAAAATTTTTTTGGTGCAATTATTTCTTTATTTAATTAAGTAAATCTAATATAGTAGAATAAAAAAGAACATAATTATTTTTCTTAAACTTTATGTTCCAATTTTTTTTTAAAAACTGTGTTAGTTTCAAATGATAAAACAAGATTTTATATATTAAATTACCAAATGTGGAGACTATTACGGCTATCTTGCCCGAGGAAAGGTTTTCTAGCAAAATAGTTAAGGTACTGTTGACAAGTACGTTTCCAAGTACGAGGGAACACAAGAGAAAGTTACCCCGCTTGCGTAGGGGGGCTATTATGCGAGAATATGCCCTTTCCTTAGGGGTACCGCTTTTTTGGATTAAAGTCAACTCGGTGGGATCCAATGACAGCAGACCTAAAGATAGAGTTTTAAACAAAAACAAACTTTAAAAAAAAACATTTTATTTTTTATTAATAATTTAGAATAAAAAATAGAATAATTAATAATTTTTAAATTTTGAATAATTTATTTGAACTCTTCACTAACTTAACTTAATGTGCATGAATTCTTAATATGATTGGCTTTTTTGATTTATTTTTGTTTAACACCTTTTAATTTTTTTAATTAAATATTTTCTTAAACTTTTCCCTACTTGGAGAAAAATCAAGTAACATTTTGCTTTATTTGATTATATTTTTGAATAAAAATTAACAAACCTATAGTGAGCCCGCTGAACAAGCCCGATATCAGGAACATGGCAACTATGAGGGATATTTGCAGGCTGATGTAAGGCAGGAGGTAGCGGGAACGAGACTTGAAGGCCATTAATCTAAGCCATGGATAGGGTTCAGAAAATGTCCATCTAATAACTGGACTATCTGATGAATTGAAAGGGAGGTTGTTACTAGAAGTGGCAACTTCGAATCTTTTTTTGACGCATAGCTGATAAAAATTTTCAAACGGAAGTTTTTTATCTCCCAAGGGAGGGCTAATTAAAGGGAGCGTGACATCTATGGCTGCTACAAATGGCAAAACTTTAACTCCAATCGAGACGTTCGTATTTTTAACATTCGATTTAGTCTGGTTTGCCTTCAGGATATATTTTATATATTTTAAAAAAGCTTTACAATGCTCAAACACACTTTGCTAGAATCTTAAAATAAATCAAGAAATTAAAATTATAATTTGATAACTTTATTTTAATATTATATAATAGGCACTATATTAATATTTTAAAATTTATTCCTCTATTAAAAATTTTAATATATAAATAATTAATTTTATCATAATAAATTAAAACATAATTTTATAAATGAATTTACATTCTTAATATACCTCAGAATAATAATTAAAAAATTAATTTTATCAATTAAAAAAAATTTCGAGATCTAATTTTTAATATTATGATAACAATTCTTACTTCAATGTTAGTTTAACAAATCCTCTTAACGATTCAAATCCAAGGATGCTCTATCAAGGAAAAATTAAATAAAAACATCAAACAACGGATTTTAAGTCAATACAATTTATTTTTAAAACAAATTATACTATTAAGTAAAAAAAATATTTAGAATTATACAATTTATTTTAATACCAGTTAGATTATTAATAAAAGAATTTCCTGACAAAGCATACTCTAAAAAATAACTGTAATGCTTATTTTTATTGGCCCTTATAAAAAAACTTTGACTAATCAATATTATAATTATATATGATAAAATAGTAAATTTGAGATTTTTTTTAGAACTTGTTTTTATTTATTTATTATTTTACAAAATTTACCAACCTTCACAACCAAAGACGACGAAAAGAATGTGATATAAGTGGAAATGAAAGGGGGCGTAACCCTGTGCTCGTCGCAAGATGCACCTGATGCCAGAGAAACACCAGCGGCGAACGATATCCTCAAGGAGAAATTGAAATTCGAATTTAAAGTAAACATACCCTTCCCCTCTTCCTCATTATTCAGGACTAGCACGCCAAAGAGTCGTAGGGAAGTAAGCTTATCCGAGAAAACCGGTATCGGTTCAGTGGGTATATTCGGAGAATGGCACTCGCTCTCTTGGTCCTTAGAACCGCAAAAAAATGTCAGCCTTTCAAAACGCGTTATACCTAAAACTATCACGTCTCCACCGCTAATATCCGTTAATATGGGAGTAACAAAATATATTAATATGATCGTAGTTAAGGAGAATGTGAGGCGTGAGCGACATTTTAAATTGGAACGGCAACTTGAATAGGGGTGGAGGCAATTTAGAAGCTGTAGGACTAATAGCATAAGTAAAACGATATAGAAGGAATGAGGATCCCAAATAATAGTATACCAGTTTTGTTATCGTCTCAAATTTTGCGTTAGAACATGGAAGATACTAAAAAAAATATTCATATAAAATTGTAAGATTTTACTTGGCAAAAGAATTTTAATTTTTTAAAATTAATTAACATAATTTAAGCTTAGCGATTTTAAAAAATTAAATAAACAAAATGTCATTATAGCCAAATTATAAATATTGAAATAACAGTTTTTATTTAAATTTAATCTAGTTTTAAAAAAATTTCTTCTGGTTTCATGAATAATAAAATTCAAATTTTCAATAATATTTATAATTAAAATTGTATATCATATAGTTAAAAATAACACTTTTAAAATATTAGAATATCATTGTCAAATAAAAATATATAATGCGATTTTCACAAACACATTTATAAACCGTATACAACGTTCCTCCGATTTTAACAATTTGATTTGTTCCCTTGGGTAAACATGGTTATGAATATTATCAAAATATTTTTCTACACTATTATATTTCATTATATCCATCCATTTTTTTAGTAAGTAATTTAAAATATACTATTAAATATTAATTAACCTAATAATACGATTGTGAGTTCTTTATTAATTCTATATATTTATCTATTAATAAATCATTTGATTTCTATTTTATTTATTATAACTCATATATAATATAACATCAGAGTTATTACAGGATCGCCATGTAATGATCGACGATCCTGAATGCCCCAATTAAAAAATTATTTGGATGATTGTTCCTTTAAAAAAACGAGGATCGTGTTCACTTCTATTGATCGATCTTTCAATCCTTAAAATAAATTTTCTTACTTTAAATTTAAACAAGATTTTTTTTATTATTAAACATCAAATTGCATTAAAATCATATTTGATTAATTTATTTAAAAATCTATACTCGCAATTTAGGGTGCACCGGATATTTAAAATTTTAATTTCCTGCATTTTTCGTTATCAATTTAAATTTCAATTATAAAATAGAATCAAAACAAAATCATGTTCAGAAGCGATTCAACGAAATAAATGCTTCAATAAAAAAATCTGTATTTATTTAGTAATGTAAAAGGATCAAGATCATTTTTATATAAAAAATTAATATACTCATTAATAATAATGATATATCGTAAGCTGAGTATTATAGTGTTCTATATCCACATTTTTATAAAATGAATTTTCTTCGAAAAATCATTTCTTGAGTATTGTAATATCCATTATTTTCATTATTTTATTGTGATCTCCTATTTAAAATACAATAAAAAAATTTTTAAATGACTCCCCTAAAAAGTTTTAAAAAATGGATATAAAACACCATAATACTTAGCCGACGATATATTCAAATTTAATATTTGACTACGATAGCTCTTAAGAAACACAAGAGTTTTTCCCTAGTTATATAAATATAAGATAATATTACAAACACCAATTTGTAGAAAAATTAAATAATATTTATTATACATTCTAATCTTAGCTTGATAATAAGTTAGATATTGGACATTTTTTTGCCAATATTTAAATGTGGTCATAATTGTATATATTTCAGAATTGGCAGCTATTTTTATTCATAAATATCTTGTAATATAAATATAACATCATAACTTGTTATAAAACTAAATTATTTTAAGGAAGCGTTACAATCGGACGATTTAAAATTTTGCTTAAAATCTGATTCGGCAAAAACCGATCCAAAAAATAGGCTGATTTTATTTGTACAACTCCTCCTTTAAATATTTTTATATAATATAATCATATGTGTTATTAACATTCCAAGAAGATTGTGCATTAAAAAGGTATCTGTTAATCTTTTGGCAATTTCGAAATATACAAATTTATAACTTAGACCCTTCTAAAACCGGAAAAAATCGGTGCGCTGCTAGATAATTAATAAATCGTTTTAAGTTTATAAAAACAAAATAATATAAAAAAAATATATGGTTTCGAGCACCAGTTTAAAAAGAAATTTCTCTATTGTAGGGAGTACAATTAAAGAAAGAAGATTGAAGCTAAAAAGAGAATATTGTTAAAGATCTTGTTTTTATTATAATTTAAAATCGTAAAGTTCTATTATTATCGTCGTGGGCTAATTATATTTATTTAAAAAGAAATAACCTAAAAACTACATGATGCATATCTATCTATAATAATATATAAAAGCCTTTTCACACTGTCCAATTTATAATATATATTTAAAAAATCGTTAATTTTGAAAAGCGTCTGTGGCCTAATCGGCAAGAGACTCGTTTGCAAATCTGAAGGCATTGGGTTCGAATCCCAGCAAACATTTTTTTTTTCTTAATCCATCTTGATATTTTTTTTCTTAATCCAACTTGGTATTTTTTTTCTAATCCAACTTGGTGGTTCGGCGCTAGGGATGGTCATTAACTAAATTCCCATTGGGCTTAAATATTGTGTCATTTGCATACATCAGGTGGTATATGCATGGAAGTGGCAGATGCATATCATTTAGAAATGGATTCTTTAGCAGAGGTAAAATCCATTATGATCTGCTGTTTTCGATGCCATCCTAGCTAGAGGTCTGCAATGGGCAAGTTTTAGTGCATCTGCCTGCTCATTTACTTAAAAATTTTGTTTAACTTGCCTGTCCAATGTTTAAAAATAATTATATTGGTTGATTTGGCTCTTTATGTATTATTTTAATGTTTTTACATAAACTTTCAATTATGAAATAAAAAAATAATATCTATCTATAATTCTATCTATCTATATTATAATATAATATAATCTATCTATAATATATATAAAAACCGACAATTTATAATATATATTTAAAAAATCGTTAATTTTAAAAAGCATCTCTAACCTAATCGGCAAGAACGTCGCTTACAAATCTGATGGCTTTTGGTTTGAATCCCAGCACAACTTGGTATTTTTTTCTTCTTAATCCAACTTGGTGGTTCTGTCCTTTGGGATAATTTTTAGGCCTAGTCCGGGTATATTAAAATATTGCCTAACACCTGTACCTGTATCCAAATATATTTCTTATAATCAGGATCATCATGAAGAATGGATCCATATCATGAGAAGATGCTAACTTATTCAAACCTCTGTGGATAACAATTTACCAAGGAGTGCTTTGTGGCTTCCATTGTAAATAAAAAAAAACCTTAAGGAATTATCCTTTCCCACAATCTAATAAATATTTACATTTTATATGATTACTAGCTGATGTCTCGCAAGAATGACAAGGAATTAGTATTCTCCTTAATTTGATGATGGATAAATTAAAATAAGCCTATATGATGTGTGAATCAGAAAATTATGTTATTTTGATGAGAGTTAATTCCAAATTTTTTATTATTATTATTTGTTAATGAAGTATATATTTATTGCATTCAATCAAATATTTGAAACATGTTTGAATATACTTTTTTTTAATTATATCAATTTCCTTATTTTTATAATTTTTATTATTTATGTACTCAATAAAAAATTTAATCCTGCTAGATGAGGGTTTTGTATATTGTTATTGAGGAAACAGATTTTAGATTTGGACTTATTAAGAATGAGTCAAATTGGTTTCAAGAAATTAAAAAACAATTATTTTAGGAAGAGCATCAAAGACTGTTCCATCATCAAGATATAAAAATTTATATCCAAATCAAATTTAGATTTAGGATAATAGATGAGATAATTAATACCAAGGTAAAATAAACGAGGACGTGTGCCCTCTGCTAGACCCTTTTAAAAAAATCTATGAGATGTGGGCTGAATAAAGGAGTTTTAATGTTACAGTATGTCAGGAATTTTGAATAAACAGGAAATTTGCGATAAAAATAATTTATGAAATTTGTTATTGAAAGCATTTTTAAAGTCTACTTTATAATAGTCATGTCAGGAGTAGAATTTTGGATATAATACAAATGGCATGTGAAGCAATTTTGCTTTACCTTAACATTAAATCCTAATTGATACGTATACTCAATAAGTTAAGACACAACCCTGGGTATTGACCCTTGGCAATTATTTTTGCTAATAATCTTATAAATAGCCAATTACAATGGGGTGGATACCACCAGTGTTTGTGAGATAATCAGGTTTGCCCCCATAATTGATTCGAATCTATGATGGCAGGTTTTTTTAAAAAGAGTATTTAGGAAAGTTTTAAAGCATTTAAATGATTCTGATGAATGTAGATTTTATACGAAGTGGGTGGGCAAAACCCATAGCGTCTGGATGTGGAAAATTTGTTAAAAGAATCAATAAATATCATAATTCACTAATCATATTTTTTTATTCCATTTTTTTCATAATATATTTGGCCTTTTCTCTAAAAATTTATAGAAATCTTGGAAGAATGAATATGGATAATCTATTCCTCTCATTTGACTATTCTCAAATAATGGTAAAATTTATTATTTATCCATAAGGAGAAAATTCTGATTCCCCAAGTACATAATTATAAAATAAATCTTTTCATATAAATAAAATTATATTTATTTAAAAAATATGTATAAGTAGTTTACAATTTCGTATATTTTAGATAACATACTGGAAAAAAAAATTATCGGGTAAAAAATTTCATATTTAATTCTTGGTTGGGGTTGGACCAGAAAAATATAAATTTTATGTTTGCATTGGGTGGAGAATTTGATTAAAAAAATTAGTGTATGTAGGTCTCTACCTCAAACTTTTAGGTCTGGCCTGGATTTAAATCAGTTCCATATCTTTAAGCTTAGCCCAAACTTCTTTTTTTAAAGTCCCAACCAGTTTTTTATTTTCAAGTGTAATCCAGTTTTATTTTTTTAGTAATTTTAGGGCAGGCCTTGGTTTCCAACCTTTGTTATTTTAAATAATTTTTTATATATGTGTTCCAAGGCAACTATTTTAATTTCTTAAGATTTCAATTTTTGCTTCCCCATCCCCTATTCTTATATGTTTTTTAAAATCTTAATATAATTTTTATTTTTGTCATTTTTTTAATTATTTACATATTTTAAACATTTTATCATAATATAGCTTTAATTTATATATTATGTTATTTTCAGGGATGTAAACCTGGACCCAAACTGGAATTTTGGCTGTACCCAAACCCGGACCCTTTTTAAAAGTGGAGGGTTCTAGGTATCAAAAATAT